CGGACGGGGCCCTCGCCCCCTCCACAGCGCCCGCTGCCCCCCGACTTCGTGGAGGCCCTGAGGGCTGTGGTCGGGGGCCCCAATGTCTCCACGGCCATGGCGGGGCGCGAGCAGCACGGCCACGATGAGTCCATGCACACGTGGGTGCCCAGGGCCCGGGAGGGGAAGAGCAATGGAGAGGGGAAGGGTGTGGGGAGGGGAAGGGTCCTGGGGAGGGGGAAGGTACTGAAGAGGGAAAGGGTCTGGGCAGGGAAAGGGTGTGGGGAGGGGAAGGGTCCTGGGGAGGGGGAGGCCCGTGGGTCAGCGGTACCGCCCTGTCCCCCAGCTGCGCTCCCCCGGACGCCGTGGTGTGGCCCCAGGCGGTGGGGCAGGTGCAGGAGCTGGCGGCGCTCTGCTACCGCTGCCGCGTCCCCATGGTGCCCTTCGGCACCGGCACCGGCCTCGAGGGTGGCGTCAATGCCGTGCAGGTACAGGCCCCTCGGCACCCCGTGCCCAGCCCCTGCCCGGGGCTCTCGGTGCCCGGCCGTGCCCAGCCCCTCCGGTGCCCCCGTGCCAGGGCGGCGTCTGCTTCGACCTGAGCCGCATGGACGCCATCACGGAGCTGAGCCTCGAGGACTTCTCGGTGGCGGTGGAGCCCGGCGTCACCCGCAAGGCCCTCAACAGCCACCTGCGTGGCACCGGGCTCTGGTTCCCCGTCGGTACCGTGGGCACCGGGGAGCAGCCGGGGGGGCCCAGGGCAGGGGGTGGCGGCACTGGGGGTGGCGGGGACGCCTGTGGAGCTGGGGTGCTGGGAGCACTGGGGGTGCTGGGGTGCCCATGGGGCCAGGGGTGCTGTGGTCCCAGGGGTGTAGCAGGGGCGCTGATGAGGCTGGGGGTGCCATGGTCCCGGGGTGCTGGGATGCCCGTGGGGCTGGGGATGCTGTTGTCCCAGAGGTGCTGGGGATGCCCATGGGTGTGCTGTGGTGCCAAGGGTGCTGGGGGTCCCCACTGAAGTGTCGTGGTCCCAGGGGTGTCCATGGGGGAGTGGGTACCATGGCCGCAGGGATACGGGGTTGCCCATAGTCCCAAGGGTTCTGGGCTCCCCACGGTCCCAGGGGTGCACTGGGGCTGCCGTGGGGCCGGGCTCCCAGGGTGCCGTCCGGGCACGGCATGGGGACGTCCCATGGCCCCGTCCCCGCACCAGCCACCCGTCGCGTCCCCATCCCTGTCCCCTGCACGTCCCCTGCCCGCAGACCCCGGGGCGGACGCCTCGCTGTGCGGCATGGCGGCCACGGGCGCCTCGGGCACCAACGCAGTGCGCTACGGCACCATGCGGCCCAACGTACTCAACCTGCGCGTGGTGCTGCCGGACGGGCGCCTGCTCCACACCGCCGGTCCCGGGCGCCAGGCCAGGTGGGCGCCGGGGGGCCGGGCTGGGCTGGGCAGGGGCCACACGGGCACGTGCTCACTGGCCACACGCAGGAAGCGGGCGGCCGGCTACGACCTGACCTCGCTCTTCGTGGGCTCCGAGGGCACCCTGGGCTTCCTGACACAGGCCACGCTGCGCCTGCACCCCCTGCCCGAGGCTGCCGCCGGCACCCCCCCCCCCCTCC